CACATACACCACACCACACACCACACACACACCACACACACACCACACACACCACACACACCACACACACACACCACACACACCACACACACCACACACACCACACACCACACACCACACACACCACACACCACACACCACACACCACACACACACACACACCACACACACCACACACACGACACACACACACCACACACACACCTCACACACCACACACACCACACACACCACACACACACGACACACACACACACACACACACCACACACACACACACACACCACACACACTCACCACACACACACACCACACACCACACACACACCACACACACACCACACACACGACACACACACACACCACACACACCACACACACCGCACACACCTCACACACCACACACACACACCACACACACCACACACACACCACCACACACACCACACACACCACACACACCACACACCACACACACACACCACACACACCACACACACACCACACACACCACACACACCACACACCACACACACACCACACACACCACACACACCACACACACACCACACACACACCACACACACCACACACACCACACACACCACACACACACCACACACACCACACACCACACACACACACCACACACACCACACACCCCCACACCCCCCACACACCACACACACCACACACACACCACACACACACCACACACACACACACCACACACACACCACACACCACACACACCTCACACACCACACACACACACCACACACCACACACCACACACCACACACACCACACACACCACACACATCACACACACACACTACACACACACCACACACACACCACACACACCACACTCACCACACACCACACACACACCACACCACACACACCACACACCACACACACCACACACCACACACACACACCACACCACACACACCACACTCACCACACACCACACACACCACACACACCACACACACACACACCTCACACACCACACACACCACACACACACACCACACACACACACCACACACACCACACACACCACACACACACACCACACATCACACACACCACACACATCTCACACACACACCACACACACACACCACACCACACACCACACACACACCACACACACCTCACACACACACCACACACACCACACACACACCACACACACACCACACACACCACACACACACCACACACACACACCACACACACCACACACACCACACACACACACCACACACACACACACACCACACACACCACACACACACTACACACACACACACACCACACACACACACTACACACACACACCACACACACACACACACCACACACACACCACACACACACTACACACACACACCACACACACCACACACACCACACACACACCACACACACACTACACACACACACACACCACACACACATACTACACACACCACACACACACACACACCACACACACCACACACACCACACCACACACACCACACACCAGACACACACCACACACCACACACACACCACACACATCACACACCACACACACCACACACACCACTCACCACACACACACCACACCACACACCACACACACACCACACACACCACACACACCACACACACCACACACACACACCACACACACCACTCACACCACACACACCACACACCACACACCACACACCACACACACCACACACCACACACCACACACACACACCACACACACCACACACACGACACACACACACACACACCACACACACACCTCACACACCACACACACACCACACACACCACACACACACCATACACACACCACACACCACACACACCACACACACCACACACCACACACACACACACACCACACACACACCACACACACACTACACACACACACACCACACACACACACACCACACACACACCACACACACCACACACACACCACACACACACTACACACACACACACACACCACACACACATACTACACACACCACACACACACACACACCACACACACCACACACACCACACACCACACACACACCACACACCACACACACACCACACACATCACACACCACACACACCACACACACCACTCACCACACACACACCACACCACACACACACCACACACACACACACACCACTCACCACACACCACACACACCACACACACACCTCACCACACACACCACACACACCACACACACCACACACCACACCACTCACCACACACACACCACACACCACACACACACACCTCACACACGACACACACACACACACCACACACACACCTCACACACCACACACACCACACACACCACACACACACGACACACACACACACACCACACACACACACACACACCACACACACTCACCACACACACCACACACACACACACCACACACCACACACACACCACACACACACCACACACACGACACACACACACACCACACACACCGCACACACCTCACACACCACACACACCACACACACCACACACCACACACACACCACCACACACACCACACACACCACACACACCACACACCACACACACACACACACACCACACACACCACACACCCCCACACCCCCCACACACCACACACACCACACACACACACCACACACACCACACACACACACACACCACACACACCACACACACACCACACACACCACACACACCACACACACCACACACACACCACACACACCACACACACCACACACCACACACACACCACACACACCACACACCACACACACACCACACACACACACCACACACACCACACACACCACACACACACACCACACACACACACACACCACACACACCACACACACACACACACCACACACACCACACACACACCACACACACACCACACACCACACACACCACACACACCACACACACACCACACACACACCACACACACACACCACACACACACACTCACCACACACACCACACACACGACACACACCACACCACACACACACCACACACACACACCACACACACACCACACACACACACCACACACACCACACACACCACACACACACACCACACACACCACACACCACACACACCTCACACACACCACACACACCACACACACCACACACACCACACACACATCTCACACACACACCACACACACCACACACACACACCACACACACCACACACACCACACACACCACACACACACACACCACACACCACACACACCACACACCACACCACACACATAGACAAATGCCCCGCGTGTAGTCACACTCGCTGGTCCGTGGCGTTCCTCACCCCTCATCATCTGCAGGAGACTCAGGGGTGGAGGCTGGAGGCCACCAGCGGTGGCTGGCGACTTTAGAAGTCTGTCAGTGGTGGTGTGGCCGTCGCTCAAGCTGCCTGGCTCCTGGCATCGAGAGAGAGAGACAGGGAGAGAGGTGGGGTAGAGATAGAGAGACGTCTCAATCAGTCACTCACTCAGTCACTCAGTCACTCACTTAGTCACTCACTCAGTCACTCAGTCAGTCACTCAGTCAGTCAGTCACTCAGTCAGTCAGTCACTCACTCACACATCCACTCACTCACTCACTCAGTCACTCAGTCAGTCACTTAGTCACTCACTCATTCACTCAGTCAGTCACTCACTCACCCAGTCACTCACTTAGTCACTCAGTCACTCACTCACACATCCACTCACTCACACATCCACTCACTCACTCAGTCACTCAGTCAGTCACTCAGTCACTAACTCACTCAGTCACTCACTCATCCACTCACTTAGACACTCACCCACTCACTCGCTCACTCACTCACTCAGTCACTCAGTCAGTCACTCACTCACCCAGTCACTCACTTAGTCACTCACTCAGTCACTCACTTAGTCACTCACCCACTCACTCACTCACTCAGTCACTCACTCAGTCACTCATCCACTCACTCATCCACTCACTCACTCACTCAGTCACTCACTCATCCACACACTCACTCACACAGTCACTCACTCACTCAGTCACTCAGTCAGTCACTCAGTCACTCAGTCAGTCAGTCACTCACTCACTCAGTCACTCAGTCAGTCACTCACTCAGTCACACATCCACTCACTCAGTCACTCACTCAGTCACTCACTCAGTCACTCACTCAGTCACTCACCCACTCACTCACTCAGTCATTCACTCATCCACTCACTTAGTCACTTACCCACTCACCCACTCACTCACTCAGTCACTCACTCAGTCACTCACCCACTCACTCAGTCACTCACTCACCCACTCACTCACTGATCCACTCGTCCACTCACTCACTCACCCACCCACCCACTCACTCACTCACTCACCCACTCACCCACCCACCCACCCACTCACTCACCCACCCACCCACTCACCCACTCACCCACCCACCCACTCACTCACCCACTCACTCACTCACCCACCCACCCACCCACTCACCCACCCACCAACCCACTCACCCACTGACCCACCCACTAACCCACCCACTCACCCACTCACCCACCCACCCACTCACAAACCCACCCACCCACTCACCCACCCACCCACCCACTCACCCACCCACTAACCCACCCACTCACCCATCCACCCACTCACCCACTCACCCACCCACCCACTCACTCAATCACTCACCCACCCACCCGCCAACTCACCCACCCACTCACCCATCCACCCACCCACCCACTCACTCATCCACCCACCCACTAACCCAGCCACCCACTCACCCACCCACTCACTCATCCACCCACCCACTCATCCTCCCACTCACTGACTCACCCACCCACTCACCCACCCACTCACTCACCCACCCACCCACCGAATCACTCACCCACCCACTCACTCACTCACTCACTCACCCACCCAACCACCCACTCACTCACCCACCAACCCACCCACCCACCCACTCACCCACCCACCCACCCACTCACCCACCCACCCATTCACCCACCCTCTCACCCACTCACCCACCCACCCACTAACCCACCCACTCACCCACTCACCCACCCACCCACTCACCCACCCACCCACTCACCCACCCACTCACTCACTCACCCACCCACTCACTCACCCACTCACTCACCCACCCACCCACCCAATCACTCACCCACCCAACCACCCACTCACTCACCCACCAATCCACCCACCCACCCACCCACCCACCCACCCACTCACCCACCCACCCACTAACCCACCCACTCACCCATCCACCCACCCACTCACCCACCCACCCACTCACTCACCCACCCACCCACCCACTCACCCACCCACTCACCCACCCACCCACTAACCCACCCACCCAGCCACCCACTCACTCACCCACTCACTCACCCACTCACTCACTCACCCACCCACTAACCCAGCCACCCACTCACCCACTCACTCACCCACTCACCCACCCACCCACCCACTCACTCACTCACCCACCCACCCACTCACTCACTCACCCACTCACCCACCCACCCACCCACTCACTCACTCACTCACCCACCCACCCACCCACTCACTCACTCACCCACTCACCCACTCACCCACCCACTCACTCACTCACCCACTCACCCACCCACTCACTCACCCACCCACCCACCCAATCACTCACCCACCCACTCACTCACTCACTCACCCACCCACCCACCCACTCACTCACCCACCCACTCACTCACCCACTCACCCACCCACCCACTCACCCACTCACTCACCCACTCACCCACCCACCCACCCAATCACTCACTCACTCACTCACCCACCCACCCACTCACTCACTCACTCACCCACTCACCCACCCACTCACTCACTCACCCACCCACCGACCCACTCACTCACTCACTCACCCACTCACCCACCCACTCACCCACCCACCCACCCACTCACTCACTCACCCACTCACCCACCCACTCACTCACCCACCCACCTACCCAATCACTTACCCACCCACTCACTCACTCACTCACCCACCCAACCACCCACTCACTCACCCACCAACCCACCCACCCACCCACTCACCCACCCACCCACTCACTCACCCACCAATTCACCCACCCACTCACCCACTCACCCACCCACTCACCCACCCACTCACCCACTCACCCACTCACCCACCCACCCACTCACCCACCCACTCACTCACCCACCAACCCACCCAATCACTCACCCACCCAACCACCCACTCACTCACCCACCAAACCACCCACCCACCCACTCACCCACCCACCCACTCACCCACCCACCCACTAACCCACCCACTCACCCATCCACCCACCCACTCACCCACCCACCCACCCACTCACTCACCCACCCACCCACCCACTCACCCACCCACCCACTCACTCACCCACTCACCCACCCACCCACCCACTCACTCACTCACCCACCCACTCACTCACTCACCCACCCACCCACCCACTCAATCACTCACTCACCCACCCACTCACCCACCCACTCACTCACCCACCCACTCACCCACCCACTAACCCACCCACTCACCCACGCACTCACCCACCCACTCACTCACTCACTCACCCACCCACTCACCCACCCACTCACTCACCCACCCACTAACCCACCCACTCACCCACGCACTCACCCACCCACTCACTCACTCACCCACCCACTCCCTCACCCACCCACCCATCCACCCACTCACCCACACACCCACCCACCCACTCACAAACCCACCCACCCACCCACTCACCCACCCACTCACCCACTCACCCACCCACACACCCACCCACCCACTCACCCACCCACTCACCCACCCACTCACCCACCCACTCACTCACCCACTCACCCACCCACCCACTCACTCACCCACTCACTCACTCACTCACCCACCCACCCACCTACTCACCCACCCACCCAGCCACCCACTCAATCACTCACTCACCCACTCACTCACCCACTCACTCACTCACCCACCAACCCTCTCACCCACCCAGCCACCCACTCACCTGCTCTCTGACCATGTGACGTGGAAAGAGGAAGTATGGCAGTGACGAGAGCACGCAGCTCGCCCCAGCCACCAGGAACCCCAACTACCCACCCACCCACCCACTCACCCACCCACCCAACCACCCACTCACCCACCCACCCACTCACCCACTCACTCACCCACTCACTCACTCACCCACCCACCCACCCACTCACTCACCCACTCACTCACTCACCCACCCACCCACTCACCCACCCACCCACTCACTCACCCACCCACCCACTCACCCACCCACCCACTCACCCACCCACTCACTCACCCACTCACTCACTCACCCACCCACCCACCCACTCACTCACCCACTCACTCACCCACTCACCCACCCACCCACTCACCCACCCACTCACCCACCCACCCACTCACCCACTCACCCACCCACCCACCCACTAACCCAGCCACCCACCCAGCCACCCACTCACCTGCTCTCTGACCATGTGACGTGGAAAGAGGAAGTATGGCAGTGACGAGAGCACGCAGCTCGCCCCAGCCACCAGGAACCCCAACTACCCACCCACCCACCCACTCACCCACCCACCCACCCACTCACCCACCCACCCACTCACCCACCCACCCACCCACCCACTCACCCACCCACTCACCCACCCACTCACCCACTCACCCACTCACTCACCCACCCACTCACCCACTCACCCACTCACTCACTCACCCACCCACTCACTCACCCACCCACTCACCCACTCACCCACTCACCCACCCACTCACACACCCACACACGCACCCACCCACTCACCCACCCACCCACCCACTCACTCACCCACCCACCCACTAACCCAGCCACCCACCCAGCCACCCACTCACCTGCTCTCTGACCATGTGACGTGGAAAGAGGAAGTATGGCAGTGACGAGAGCACGCAGCTCGCCCCAGCCACCAGGAACCCCAACTACCCACCCACCCACCCACCCACCCACCCACCCACCCACTCACCCACCCACCCACTCACCCACCCACCCACCCACCCACTCACCCACCCACTCACCCACCCACTCACCCACTCACTCACTCACTCACCCACCCACTCACCCACCCACCCACTCACCCACTCACCCACCCACTCACTCACCCACCCACTCACCCACTCACCCACTCACCCACCCACCCACTCACCCACCCCCTCACCCACCCACTCACCCACCCACCCACCCACTCACTCACCCACCCACCCACTAACCCAGCCACCCACCCAGCCACCCACTCACCTGCTCTCTGACCATGTGACGTGGAAAGAGGAAGTATGGCAGTGACGAGAGCACGCAGCTCGCCCCAGCCACCAGGAACCCCAACTACCCACCCACCCACCCACACACCCACTCACCCACCCACCCACCCACTCACTCACCCACCCACTCACCCACCCACCCACCCACCCACTCACCCACTCACCCACCCACCCACCCACCCACCCACCCACTCACCCACCCACTCACCCACTCACTCACTCACTCACCCACCCACTCACCCACCCACCCACTCACTCACTCACCCACCCACTCACTCACCCACCCACTCACCCACTCACCCACCCACCCACCCACTAACCCAGCCACCCACCCAGCCACCCTCACCTCCTCTCTGACCATGTGACGTGGAAAGAGGAAGTATGGCAGTGACGAGAGCACGCAGCTCGCCCCAGCCACCAGGAACCCCAACTACCCACCCACCCACCCACTCACCCACCCACCCAACCACCCACTCACCCACCCACCCACTCACCCACTCACTCACCCACTCACTCACTCACCCACCCACCCACTCACTCACCCACTCACTCACTCACCCACCCACCCACTCACCCACCCACCCACTCACTCACCCACCCACCCACTCACCCACCCACCCACTCACCCACCCACTCACTCACCCACTCACTCACTCACTCACCCACCCACCCACCCACCCACTCACTCACCCACTCACTCACTCACCCACCCACCCACTCACTCACCCACCCACCCACTCACCCACCAACCCTCTCACCCACCCACCCACCCACTAGCCCAGCCACCCACCCAGCCACCCACTCACCTGCTCTCTGACCATGTGACGTGGAAAGAGGAAGTATGGCAGTGACGAGAGCACGCAGCTCCCCCCAGCCACCAGGAACCCCAACTACCCACCCACCCACCCACTCACCCACCCACCCAACCACCCACCCACCCACTCACCCACCCACCCACTCACTCACCCACTCACCCACCCACCCACCCACTCACTCACTCACCCACCCACTCACTCACCCACCCACCCACTCACCCACCCACCCACCCACTCACCCACCCACTCACTCACCCACTCACTCACCCACCCACTCACCCACTCACCCACTCACCCACCCACCCACTCACCCACCCACTCACCCACCCACTCACCCACCCACCCACCCACCCACCCACTCACCCACCCACTCACCCACCCACCCACCCACTAACCCACCCACCCACCCAGCCACCCACTCACCTGCTCTCTGACCATGTGACGTGGAAAGAGGAAGTATGGCAGTGACGAGAGCACGCAGCTCGCCCCAGCCACCAGGAACCCCAACTACCCACCCACCCACCCACTCACCCACTCACCCACTCACCCACTCACCCACCCACCCACTCACTCACTCACCCACCTAACCACCCACTCACCCACCCACCCACTCACCCACTCACCCACCCACTCACCCACCCACTCACCCACCCACCCACCCACTCACTCACCCACCCACCCACTAACCCAGCCACCCACCCAGCCACCCACTCACCTCCTCTCTGACCATGTGACGTGGAAAGAGGAAGTATGGCAGTGACGAGAGCACGCAGCTCGCCCCAGCCACCAGGAAGCCCAACCACCAGGCCCCGATCCACTCAGGGTCCCCCAGGGATACTCCTGGGGGACCCTGGGGGCCTACAGGGGGTGGGGGGAGTGGGGGGAGTGGGGGAGTGGGGGGTGGGGGTGAGTGGGGGTGAGTGTGGGGTGAGGGGGGGTGAGTGTGGGGTGAGTGTGGGGTGAGTTTTGGGTGAGTGGGGGGTGAGTGTGGGGTGAGTGTGGGGTGAGTAGGTGGTGAGTGTAGGGTGAGTGTGGGGTGAGTGGGGGTGAGTTTTGGGTGAGTGGGTGGTGAGTTTTGGGTGAGTTTTAGGTGAGTGTGGGGTGAGTGTGGGGTGAGTAGGTGGTGAGTGTGGGGTGAGTGGTGGGTGAGTGGGGGGTGAGTGTGGGGTGAGTGTGGGGTGAGTAGGTGGTGAGTGAGGGGTGAGTGGGGGGTGAGTGTGGGGTGAGTGGTGGGTGAGTGTGGGGTGAGTGTGGGGTGAGTGTGGGGTGAGTGGTGGGTGAGTGGGGGGTGAGTTTTGGGTGAGTGTGGGGTGAGTGTGGGGTGAGTGTGGGGTGAGTGTGGGGTGAGTAGGTGGTGAGTGTGGGGTGAGTGTGGGGTGAGTGTGGGGTGAGTGTGGGGTGAGTGTGGGGTGAGTGTGGGGTGAGTGGTGGGTGAGTGGTGGGTGAGTGGGGGGTGAGTGGGGGGTGAGTGGGGGGTGAGTTTTGGGTGAGTGGGTGGTGAGTGGGGGGTGAGTGTTGGGTGAGTGGGGGGTGAGTGGGGGTGAGTTTTGGGTGAGTGTGGGGTGAGTGGGGGTGAGTGGGTGGTGAGTGTGGGGTGAGTGGGGTGAGTGTGGGGTGAGTAGGTGGTGAGTGTGGGGTGAGTGGTGGGTGAGTGTGGGGTGAGTGGGGGGTGAGTGGGGGGTGAGTGTTGGGTGAGTGGGGGGTGAGTGTGGGGTGAGTGTGGGGTGAGTGGTGGGTGAGTGTGGGGTGAGTGGGGGGTGAGTGTTGGGTGAGTGGGGTGTGAGTGTGGGGTGAGTGTTGGGTGAGTGTGGGGTGAGTGGGGAGTGAGTGGGGGGTGAGTGTGGGGTGAGTGGGGAGTGAGTGTGGGGACTGAGTGGGGGGTGAGTGTGGGGAGTGAGTGGGGAGTGAGTGTGGGGTGAGTGTGGGGTGAGTGTGGGGAGTGATTGGGGAGTGAGTGTGGGGTGAGTGTGGGGTGAGTGGGGGGTGAGTGTGGGGTGAGTTTTGGGTGAGTGTGGGGTGAGTGGGGAGTGAGTTTTGGGTGAGTGTGGGGTGAGTGTGGGGTGAGTGTGGGGTGAGTTTTGGGTGAGTGTGGGGTGAGTGTGGGGTATGTGTGGGTGAGTGGGGGGTGAGTGTGGGGTGAGTGGGGGTGAGTGGGGGGTGAGTGTGGGGTGAGGGGGGGGTGAGTGGGGGGGTGAGTGGGGGGGTGAGTGGGGGGTGAGTTTTGGGTGAGTGGGTGGTGAGTGGGGGGTGAGTTTTGGGTGAGTGTGGGGTGAGTGGGGGTGAGTGGGGGGTGAGTGTGGGGTGAGTGGTGGGTGAGTGGTGGGTGAGTGGGGGGTGAGTGGGGGGTGAGTGGGGGGTGAGTTTTGGGTGAGTGGGTGGTGAGTGGGGGGTGAGTGTTGGGTGAGTGGGGGGTGAGTTTTGGGTGAGTGTGGGGTGAGTGGGGGTGAGTGGGTGGTGAGTGTGGGGTGAGTGTGGGGTGAGTGTGGGGTGAGTAGGTGGTGAGTGTGGGGTGAGTGTGGGGTGAGTGGTGGGTGAGTGGGTGGTGAGTGTGGGGTGAGTGTGGGGTGAGTGTGGGGTGAGTGTGGGGTGAGTGGGTGGTGAGTGTGGGGTGAGTGTGGGGTGAGTGTGGGGTGAGTGTGGGGTGAGTAGGTGGTGAGTGTAGGGTGAGTGTGGGGTGAGTGGGGGTGAGTTTGGGGTGAGTGGGGGGTGAGTGGGGGGTGAGTGTGGGGTGAGTAGGTGGTGAGTGTAGGGTGAGTGTGGGGTGAGTGGGGGGTGAGTGTGGGGTGAGTGTGGGGTGAGTGTGGGGTGAGTAGGTGGTGAGTGTAGGGTGAGTGTGGGGTGAGTGGGGGTGAGTTTTGGGTGAGTGGGTGGTGAGTTTTGGGTGAGTTTTAGGTGAGTGTGGGGTGAGTGTGGGGTGAGTAGGTGGTGAGTGGGGTGAGTGTGGGGTGAGTGTGGGGTGAGTAGGTGGTGAGTGAGGGGTGAGTGGGGGGTGAGTGGGGGGTGAGTGTGGGGTGAGTGGTGGGTGAGTGTGGGGTGAGTGGGGGGTGAGTGTGGGGTGAGTGTGGGGTGAGTGTGGGGTGAGTGTGGGGTGAGTTTTGGGTGAGTTTGGGGTGAGTGTGGGGTGAGTGTGGGGTGAGTGGGGGGTGAGTGTGGGGTGAGTTTGGGGTGAGTGTGGGGTGAGTGGGGAGTGAGTTTTGGGTGAGTGTGGGGTGAGTGTGGGGTGAGTGTGGGGTGAGTTTTGGGTGAGTGTGGGGTGAGTGTGGGGTGAGTGTGGGGTGAGTTTTGGGTGAGTGTGGGGTGAGTGTGGGGTGTGTGTGGGGTGAGTGGGGGGTGAGTGTGGGGTGAGTGGGGGTGAGTGGGGGGTGAGTGTGGGGTGAGGGGGGGGTGAGTGGGGGGTGAGTGGGGGGGTGAGTGGGGGGTGAGTTTTGGGTGAGTGGGTGGTGAGTGGGGGGTGAGTGTTGGGTGAGTGGAGGGTGAGTGGGGGGTGAGTTTTGGGTGAGTGTGGGGTGAGTGGGGGTGAGTGGGTGGTGAGTGTGGGGTGAGTGTGGGGTGAGTGTGGGGTGAGTAGGTGGTGAGTGTGGGGTGAGTGGTGGGTGAGTGGTGGGTGAGTGGGGGGTGAGTGGGGGGTGAGTGGGGGGTGAGTTTTGGGTGAGTGGGTGGTGAGTGGGGGGTGAGTGTTGGGTGAGTGGGGGGTGAGTGGGGGGTGAGTTTGGGGTGAGTGTGGGGTGAGTGGGGGTGAGTGGGTGGTGAGTGTGGGGTGAGTGTGGGGTGAGTGTGGGGTGAGTAGGTGGTGAGTGTGGGGTGAGTGTGGGGTGAGTGGTGGGTGAGTGTGGGGTGAGTGTGGGGTGAGTGTGGGGTGAGTAGGTGGTGAGTGTGGGGTGAGTGTGGGGTGATTGTGGGGTGAGTGTGGGGTGAGTGTGGGGTGAGCAGGTGGTGAGTGTGGGGTGAGTGTGGGGTGAGTGTGGGGTGAGTGGGTGGTGAGTGTGGGGTGAGTGTGGGGTGAGTGTGGGGTGAGTGTGGGGTGAGTGGGGGTGAGTTTGGGGTGAGTGGGGGGTGAGTGGGGGGTGAGTGTGGGGTGAGTAGGTGGTGAGTGTAGGGTGAGTGTGGGGTGAGTGGGGGGTGAGTGTGGGGTGAGTGTGGGGTGAGTGTGGGGTGAGTAGGTGGTGAGTGTAGGGTGAGTGTGGGGTGAGTGGGGGTGAGTTTTGGGTGAGTGGGTGGTGAGTTTTGGGTGAGTTTTGGGTGAGTGTGGGGTGAGTGTGGGGTGAGTAGGTGGTGAGTGGGGTGAGTGTGGGGTGAGTGTGGGGTGAGTAGGTGGTGAGTGAGGGGTGAGTGGGGGGTGAGTGTGGGGTGAGTGGTGGGTGAGTGTGGGGTGAGTGTGGGGTGAGTGTGGGGTGAGTGGTGGGTGAGTGGGGGGTGAGTTTTGGGTGAGTGTGGGGTGAGTGTGGGGTGAGTGTGGGGTGAGTAGGTGGTGAGTGTGGGGTGAGTGTGGGGTGACTGTGGGGTGAGTGTGGGGTGAGTGTGGGGTGAGTGGGTGGTGAGTGGTGGTGAGTGTGGGGTGAGTGTGGGGTGAGTGTGGGGTGAGTGGTGGGTGAGTGGTGGGTGAGTGGGGGGTGAGTGGGGGGTGAGTGGGGGGTGAGTTTTGGGTGAGTGGGTGGTGAGTGGGGGGTGAGTGTTGGGTGAGTGGGGGGTGAGTGGGGGTGAGTTTTGGGTGAGTGTGGGGTGAGTGGGGGTGAGTGGGTGGTGAGTGTGGGGTGAGTGTGGGGTGAGTGTGGGGTGAGTAGGTGGTGAGTGTGGGGTGAGTGGTGGGTGAGTGTGGGGTGAGTGGGAGGTGAGTGGGTGGTGAGTGTTGGGTGAGTGGGGGGTGAGTGTGGGGTGAGTGTGGGGTGAGTGTGGGGTGAGTGTTGGGTGAGTGTGGGGTGAGTGGTGGGTGAGTGGGGGGTGAGTGTGGGGTGAGTGGTGGGTGAGTGTGGGGTGAGTGTGGGGTGAGTTTTGGGTGAGTTTTGGGTGAGTGTGGGGTGAGTGTGGGGTGAGTGGGGGGTGAGTGTGGGGTGAGTGTGGGGTGAGTAGGTGGTGAGTGTTGGGTGAGTGTGGGGTGAGTAGGTGGTGAGTGGGGTGAGTGTGGGGTGAGTAGGTGGTGAGTGTGGGGTGAGTGTGGGGTGAGTGTGGGGTGAGTGTGGGGTGAGTTTTGGGTGAGTGTGGGGTGAGTGGGGAGTGAGTTTTGGGTGAGTGTGGGGTGAGTGTGGGGTGAGTGTGGGGTGAGTTTTGGGTGAGTGTGGGGTGAGTGAGGGGTGAGTGTGGGGTGAGTTTTGGGTGAGTGTGGGGTGAGTAGGTGGTGAGTGTGGGGTGAGTGTGGGGTGAGTTTTGGGTGAGTGTGGGGTGAGTGTGGGGTATGTGTGGGGTGAGTGGGGGGTGAGTGTGGGGTGAGTGGGGGTGAGTGGGGGGTGAGTGTGGGGTGAGGGGGGGGTGAGTGGGGGATGAGTGGGGGGGTGAGTGGGGGGTGAGTTTTGGGTGAGTGGGTGGTGAGTGGGGGGTGAGTGTTGGGTGAGTGGAGGGTGAGTGGGGAGTGAGTTTTGGGTGAGTGTGGGGTGAGTGGGGGTGAGTGGGTGGTGAGTGTGGGGTGAGTGTGGGGTGAGTGTGGGGTGAGTAGGTGGTGAGTGTGGGGTGAGTGGTGGGTGAGTGGTGGGTGAGTGGGGGGTGAGTGGGGGGTGAGTGGGGGGTGAGTTTTGGGTGAGTGGGTGGTGAGTGGGGGGTGAGTGTTGGGTGAGTGGGGGGTGAGTGGGGGGTGAGTTTTGGGTGAGTGTGGGGTGAGTGGGGGTGAGTGGGTGGTGAGTGTGGGGTGAGTGTGGGGTGAGTGTGGG